CACACACACACTCACACTCACACTCACACACACACACACACACACACACACACACATACACACACACAGATCACATGACCATCGGCTTGAATGTCCTCGAATCAACTGCTGCAACTTTTCTTTTCCTCTCGTGTTTTCTCATGTAAAAATCCAGCAGCCACCAGCCAAGACATCTAGAAAAAACGCTGAAGTATCCGTGCAGAACAATGAGGTGTTTATATCTAATCTTCACTGGCATTTAAGATGCTTTTAATAGCCAAAAGATTATTTATATGTCAAACTACAGCTACACAAGCCAAGAATCATACAAAAAATATACACACTACCATTCAGAGGTTTGGAATAATAATGATTTTATTTACTTATTTATTGTCTCTTCTGCTCACCAAGGCTGCATTTATTTGATGTAAAAATATCGATGTATAAATGTTGAAAACAGTTGTGCTTGCCAATATTTTTGGAAACCAATATTTTTGTGGAAACTGTGATTCATTTTATTTTTCAGTATTCACAGATGAATAGAACGTTCAGGAGAACAGCATTTATTTGAAACATTGTAACATTACAGATGCATTTACTGTCACTTTTGATCAATTGAATGTGTCCTTGATGAATAAAAGTAGTCATTTCTTTAAAGAAATCACAAACCTTTGAACGGTAGTGTAAACTGGGTTCAGAATTCACATATAAACTGCTTGCTGCATTAATGCTGCTGCTGAAACACTGAAGACAGACGCATCCTCTCCAGTCATCAACACGATTTTCCTTCTGTTTTCACAAGCACTGAAACCAATTATTCCAAAAAAACGAAGCTAGAGAAGAAGTGCTCGTTTGGTACCAGAAGGGAAAAACATGATGAAAACTGCATTTAATCTATACATAGTTAGTGAAATAAACAGAAAAGCCTCAATCTTTGGAGGCTGATGTCAACTAATGATACAGCTTAGCAAACAGCACTAATTAGGATGTGTGTGTTTTCTCAGACGGATGTGGGACTCTAAATGTTGATGTTGTTTTCATGTGTAGTTTGTGGATTGTGTTTGATGATCTGGAGAACTGAAGGAATGAGGTCAGACTCAGACTGTGTGTGTGGCAGCACTAGTTGCCCTGATGCCCAAATATTCTGCATAATATCTCAGTCTGACAATAACTTGACTGCTTTTCTGATTAAATCTGCAGCTCTAAAATTACAAGCAACTGCTGATGCAGTGTAAGACATACCATTATATTTTTTGCTAATATTTTCAACTAATTTTATTTTCTGCTTTCACTTTAATTTTAGTGTTCATTTTGTTTTGATTAAAAAAGATTTAAAACATAGTTTTTTTTCTTCAATGTCTATATAGTTTTTATAATTTTTTATTTATTAGTGAAAGTCTTGGCAACTAGCTGAAATAATATATATATATGTATATAATAACATTATCTATTTATTTATTTATTGAAATAAACATTAATGTTCTATTGTTTTTTAAAGTTTTATGTTTATTTTGTTGAATTTTTAAAATTTGAATTTTTTAGAAATTAGATTTTTACAAATATTTTTATTTATTTCTTACATTTCTTAGTCACTGGGGTTTTTTAAATGTTTTTTTTTTTTTTAGATTTTTGTTAATTTTTATTTATAAGTTATTTTATTTTACTTCATGAATAACTCAGCAAAAATTAGAAACATTATCTTGGCAACTAAAAATAAGTAAATAAATAAACAAAAATAAATATTAATTAAATATGAAATAAAAATACATTTAAATTATGTTTTAGAAAGAAGTCTCTTTTGCTCACCAATTCTGCGTTTATCTGACCAAAAAGACTAAATAAGACCAAAAAAAGTTATTAAAATTTAAATCAGCTGTTTTGTGAATCTCTGTTAAACTGTAATGTATTTCTGTGATGCACAGCTGTATTTTCAGCATCCTTCCTCCAGTCTTCAGTGTCACATGATCTTCAGAAATCAGTATAATATGCTGATCTGCTGCTCAAGAAACATTTCTGATTATTATCAATGCTGAAAACAGTCGTGCTGCACGATATTTCTGTGGAAACCGTGATACATTTTATTTTTCAGGATTCACAGATGAATAGAAAGTTCAAAAGAACAGCATTTATTTGAAATATTGTAACATTATAAATGTCTTTACTGTCACTTTTGATTAATTTAATGCATTCTTGATGAATAAAAGTATTAATTTCAAAAATAAATAATGAAACCGTGTAAACTGGGTTCAGAATTTCCTGCATTCGTGCTGCTATTGAATGACTGATGACAGAATCATTCTTCAGTCTGTCATCAACATGATTTCCCATTTTCCTCCTGTGATCCAAACTCTGTAGGAGCAGCCAGAGCCGCAGCATGTGTGTGATCTGTGGATAAAAGCAGACGAGGCTGATCTGGCTCATATATATACAGTATAATCAGTTGTTTGCAGACGCCTGTAAACACAGGCAGCACAAACTGAACCCAGTCCTGGAGCCGTCTGACCGCTTCAATCGCTAAATTACTACCCTGCTAAAAGAACTTCATCTACACTAAAAACAGCCTGAAATGCAATACAAGAACTGAAGACTGTCCAGCTGAACAGATGAGCAGCCGTGAGGAGGAGAAACACACACACACACACATGCACATGCACATGCACACTCACACTCACACTCACACTCACACTCACACACACACACACACACTGGTTTGTTTTTATGGTTTACGGGGACTCTCCATAGGCGTAATGGTTTTTATACTGTACAGACCGTATATTCTATTGCCCTACACCAACCCTACCCCTAAACCTACCCCTCACAGGAGACTTTGTGCATTTTTAGATTTTCAAAAAAAACTAATTCTGAATTATTTATAAGCCTTTTGAATTACGGGGACACTGAAAATGTCCTCATAAATCCCCTTCTCGTTGTAATACCTATGTCACACCCATGTTATTATATAAATTTGTGTCCTCATAAACCACATAAACA